ATTTCAGGTGTCCTTCGAGCAGCAGGTGCCTTTTACGTTCGACCGGGCAGTTCAACATCGACCGTGTCAGATTAAGTTGCCAATTTGCGTGTAATGACACGAAATTCGTCTAATCACATTGCTTCGTGTGTAGGTTTCGTGTAGTCGTGTAATTTGCAAAAAGCAGGTCGAGACAAAACCGAAGTTGCCAAATCATAAAACATAACGTTCACGTTCAATGGATTCCTTAGGTCTATTCGCTGTTTCTGCATGAAATTTATATGGTACACTACATATTTCTACAATACACTTTTCGGCGTGGACGAGTGTAGTGGAGTGGAGTGTAGTGACTTGATATTTTGTTCGTTGCTTGTGGTGTAGTCAAGTGTATTGAAAAATAGATAGTGATGATGAAATCATTGACAGTTATTTCTTATTGAATTCAGATGGTGAATCAATTATAAGTTCTTCTGGTCGACGAGGATTAATCAATGGAATATGTTTCATTAGTAGTACACTGATCCATCTAAGGATTAGAAATGTTGACCAAAATGATTAAATGATTCACAAAACAGAGATTGTTGTTTATGGTCCAAAAACAAACTCCTAACCTAACAACTATCTGCACTACACTTCTCACACCTCCTCAAGATCAAGTGTAACACTCTGTTTTGGCGGTAAATTATCTCCAATTATTGTGTTACATTACTTTGACAACGAACACAGTGTTAGTGTTCACCATATAACACCGAACTGTATCAGTGCTACACAATTTACTCTGGTGAACAATATTGAAGTTATTGGAGACACCGCGAACATACCTCTAATTCTTACTGCTACCGAGTGCTACTATATAAGTTGAAATCAATGAATACGGTCATGTCACTTCATCCACTAATTCTTGGTGTGAAATTTGGACTATGTGAAGTTCAAATTACATTTTTTGATTATATGAAGTACCAATTTCCTGTATTTATACAATGGATAGGTAGCTGAAAAATAAATTTTGGTTTATTCAATATTTTGTGCTAATTCCACATATTTTTCCAGGGCACTGAAAACTTGTTTGATTTGCTGTTATTGTATCATAAAAGATGTGGATCATGAAATGATGTATACTGAAATTAAGTCAGTTCTATGTTGTCATTATTTTAGACCAGGGTCGATAATTTTTGCAACCGAAAATAAAAATAGTAGAATGACACTAATGGAACAAGGAAGAGAATATAACAAAAATGAAAAAACAAACTAATTACGGTCGATCTGAGGTCGAGAAGTAGAAGGGGGTATGCACTTTTAAGGGTGCATAACGGCTAATCTCGATTTCTGGCAAAACTACAAATCCTATATGGAGAAAAGTTGAATAGCAAAGTTGTAGGCGAAGAAAATTTATAACTCTTGTGAATACACTTATTCCACATAACCTCAATAAATAAGAAAAATTCATATAATAAAATTTAGGAAGAGCGGGACATACAGCTTATAGTGGAATCCGAACCACTTCTAGGGCATCGAGGTGCTGTCAGGATTACAACCATGAATCACACATTTTAAAGAAAAATGCTCAGCCGATAGCCGGATTCGAACCGACAGTACCTCTGCATCGTGAATGGTTATCTAGACAAACTCGGCCACGGAGCCCCTCTTGAACTATATCGATCTAATCTTTATCTACCAATACTCGTACGTCTACAGAACGGCGAAGCTTTGGAATTCTTTGCCAATGAAAGTATTCCCAAACTCCAAAAGTTTGAAAAATCCAATACCGCAACCTCCTCTCCCTATCGTCTCTGGGTACGAACGATATTCACCAGGCTAAATTCGTGACCATCTTACTCTCTAGACGTAAATTAGTAAGATGGCAAATGAGAAGTATCGAAAATGGCGAATGCACGTTCAGAAAATAGCGGAGGCCAATGATAGATGTAAAGCTGACTGAGGGAGGGATTATGAATGTGATCACAAAGCCACCAAGAAAACTCCTCAATTGTATATATTTATATGATGTACTGTTGCTGTGTGTGTACAATTTATAAAAAAAAAGAAGAAAGATAGAAAAGATTTAAAAATAAGTTCTTAAATAAGATGGAGTCATGTCCATTTCGAACCAGGACCGCACAATCTGAAAATTTAGGATTAAATAGACCAATTAATGCTGAACAAGAAATGTACTTTTGTCCAAGGTCCATTATACCCGTTCAAAAAAGTTATGAGCTGTTGAAGCCCAACGAGATAACCGCTACAAAAACAGAAGATATTCTAGACGGGCTTTGTTGTACCTAGAGGTTATGAATGTGTGAGTGTAAAAATTGTTAACCTCCATAAATATGATTTTTGTTGAATGTTGGGCACCTTGAGAAATTCACATCTAGCGTAATTTTGACATTCACGAATGATATCGATCATGTGGAGGTTACAAAAAAAACTCTCATCCATCGATGGGCTCGTCCGCTCATCAATGACCCATCATGGCCAATTTTTTGAAACGAGGGAAATTCAATTCTCGCATGAGTTTCACTGAGAGTATTGAGGCTGAGCATACGGAGGATCAAAACAAACATCTTGCACACCCGGGCTTAAAATTGAACTTTTAGACCCGGGTGCCTAAAAGTGGCACTTTTAACCCCGATAATGCGGGCTTTATAGTAATTTCCACGCTCGTGATCGTTTGAGGCCCGAAAGTGTCACTTTACGCCCTTAGCACTCAAACTGCTAGTCGCTGAAAAACATCAAAACGACACTTCACTATAGCCTAGGCTGACACAAAAAAAACACTAGGAACTAGCAAAAACCGCCTCACAGAGTGTCACTGTAACTCATAAAAACTACACTAGAAAGACGCAAAACGCTTCCAAGAATTTCGTAACTATACCCTCCCTGTATATACTAGTAGAGTCCGACTAGGTTAACTTTGGGACACCACGTGATTCAACGCATTGCATGCACTCAGAGAAATAGTCGGTAGTAAATTCCAAACGTTTAGTAAAATAGGCTCCAGTCACTACATTCATCAAATAATACCACTATATTAGTATCATACTATTTTGCAGTGGTAATATTTGACATAGTCATATAGAGTATAGTATTATATAATGTTGTAGGGGGATCATTAGATGAATGTTGTGACTGGCGCCTATTCCACTAAACGTTTGGTGATAACTACCGACTATTTTTCTCGAATGACGCATTCGAAAATTCTCGATCGACAATTGTAGAGTGATCTTAAACAGTCGACAATTTCATGTCGAATGCGAGGTTGAATATTTGACGGATTTTCTTCATCACTTTTTTTTATTTTGAGAACGGCAGCTATATCTATAGCGGTTGAGAATTTGGAAAATCGTGAAAATCATCAACGCCAACGAGATAGGCGAGGAATATATAAGAATACGTTCAGATTTCTATCGGACAAAACATTTATAAAAACATTAGATTGAGTTAGGAATGTGAGAGGGTTAGAACAATCTACATTGTACATCGGTATTCTGCATTATCTCTTGAAGAAAAGGTAAGCCATGTAGGACTTTTCCATGATGGTAATGAATCAGTATAACTTTCTCTAATAACCTTCCACTTCAATTCAATTCAAGGATGGAAATTCAACATAACATCCATAACAAGAAAGGAACCAAAGCACATTGGCACAGAACACATTCGAGAATCGTTAATTCGATGTTGCCAGTGCATGCTATTCGAGAAAAATTTGTCTCATGCGAGTTTGAAGTCGAAAGCAATCGAGAATGACAGTAATAACACACTGAAACGTTGTGTGACAATTTCTATCGTCATATGTCGAATTCGACGAAAAAGAATGATAAATACTAGAGCGTATTAAGCGCCACTGAAACTCGAATAGAACTCTAGAAACTTGAACAATGAGTAGGTAGTTGGGCCTAGAAACTGAAACTTTCAATAATATAACCAAAACCTGTGAAAATTACTCAACTTCAGACTTCAGTTTCCATACTTTTTTCAGACCATACCCATGAATACTTTTTTAGAACCGGCAAATATCCAGCTTCAATCATCTACTCAAAAATTATCTACGCGAGAATTCACTTTCTTTTATTCTCTGAAAACTGCATAATATCGCTGAAATTTGTTTTGAATATTTAGGTGTCCGGATTCAAAATCTGCGTTGAACTCACGCAAGAATTGGACTTTCCTCATTATACGAAAATTGCCCATGATAGGTCGTTGATGACCAGATGTGTCAATCGATGGATGAGATTTTTTTTAACCTCCACGTGATCGAGCTCAATCGTGAATGCACAAATCACGCTAGACGTGAATTTCTCAAGATGCCCATGGTACATGTGCAAAAGTACCCATGTGGGTACCTAATATAATCAGGGGACCACCGACCTCAACACTCTTTGCCACCCAAAATACAATGCTGAAACGATAATTATTTTTTTTCTGCGACGAGGAAAAAGTTTGAAATCTCATCTCTGTTAACAGGTTATTAAATGTCACTTTTCACTACTTTTTTACAGGAAATAATTGCATTATGTGTATCAGATAATTGCAACAGCGTTATGCCTAGAGTTTATAGAAATACGAGAAGGAGAAGAAGAAGAACTACATTGCCACCCTAACTTCCTAACCTCACCTTCATCTTCAAATCCTTGTTTCATTCTAGTCAAGATGCGGATATTCAAAGATATTCCTCTTATTATCTGATTCTTCAGTTGTGTGTTGTGTTCTCTGTCATCTGCTGTGATATATTCAGCCTAGAAAATTCACAAGAGTCTAGGGTTAGCACCATCTGAGGAGGCGAACTTTTTATATATTTTGAATAACAGTGACAATCAGGAATATTCTTGCACTTGTCTTACGTACACGTATGTCACAATTTTTCGGATGATAACGTTACGCGTTTTCGCGCGTTTTTCATGCTACGGAAAATCGTGAATTTCAATGATTATTCAAAAATGTACAGAGCTCTGGGGAAAAAAGTGGTTTGCGACAGTGAACTAGTTGCGGTTAGTACTTCGAAAAAAAAATACAGAATTTCTTACCTTGGAGGCTCCGCTATCCTTCAATTTCAGGTCGCCCTCGAGCAGCAGGTGCCTTTTTCGTTCGACGGGGCAGTTCAGCATCGGCCGTGTCAGGTCGAGTTGTGTCAACGTGCGATCCTTCTTCAGGAGCTTGTCGATGTCGTCGTCTTTCGATTCCTAAGCACACATGAGAATGAGAAAGACGCATGGTATTTCGAGTTATCGGAATTTTATTCTGACTGTATAACCAAACTTTCATTTTCAGTCATAGCCATAGCCACTAGGGCTCAAGAAACTATTAATGCTCAGTATGAGTTTCGTAATTATTATGACTCATTTTATAACTCCATAGTATAGAAATCTCATGATGTAATCGAACACATTGACAAAAATTCCAAACTCATTTTATTAATTTACATCGTGTAAATATGATGAACAATGTGGAATCTTATTTTTATTAACACGTATCACTCACTTATAGTTTGTTATATTAGGTACCAGAATCAGATCAGACTTCGACTAGATCATGCTCAGACCAGATCAGACTCGATCAAACAAACACTTATTGGAAACGGCTGTAGGTGAAATATATAGGAACCCCACATTTCGTGCTATAATTTGTCTTGGATTTTCTTTGTCAAGAAGAAAAGACCTACCAGTAGAATTCAGTTTTTTACCTACGGCCACTATAGAAAGTAGGCAAGAACACACGAAATACAGGCTCAGTAAATAGCTCCTAACGCACGGAATCAATGTTACCAGGTGGCGCTCGGTTTTCATCGTTCCATGTCAAAACCACGTCAAAACTGGGGGAAAACAAACTCAATCTTCACTCAATTGACTCAATCCCATTAGTGCCATTTGCTTGTGTACTGTGTACTGATAAGAGTAATGTTTTTAAATTTCTTGACATTAATGGTCAATATTCGATCGAAAATGCTAATAATGCCTGTAGTCTATGCACTTTATCCATAGACAACAGTTTGTTTTCCCCCAGTTTGAAGTTCGTATTATGTAACCTATAGATGTCGCCCACTTCGTGAATCTCGCGAATAGTCTGCAAGTATGTCATTCGCGTAATCGCCGTCAATAGCGTTTGACATTGCAACTGTCATTAACAAAAATATTACGAACAAACTGTTTTGGAAGACTATTATATGGTTAAGGAAATCAAGAAAATTGCTGAATATTTCTAGTTTTCAACAAGTAGTATACTAATTTGTACAAATTCAATGCACAAACTTCAACAAGTGATCGAGCAAGAAGAAACAAGTATCTTCAACAACTCAAAGTTGTCTTGATCGAGAGGAATTCTCATACAAAATAATGTGAGCTTTTTTGGGTTTTTTGTTTCTAATATTGCGTTGAGAAGGATGTTCGCAAATTCAGAATTGGAAAATGAGTAGTACGAGCGATTTTTTTACGTTTTTTTGTTGTTGCAAAATCATCAATAATATCATCATATAGTCTCTTGTGTTCGCTATGTCTGCTTTTTTGCATAAAGAGGCGAATAGTTTAGTTTTTCTTGAAATAATGAAGACTTCTGATGATACTCCAATCGTTTTGAATATGAAAAACTCCAGAACAATTTGTGGCCGGTGTGCAAAGCGCTATGCAGGAATCTATGGTCAAGTTCGGGTAAACACTGCATACAGATTGGTTCCTCGAATACATGAAAAGATCCATTAATGATGTAGATTCAGGTTTTTTAACGTCTCAGTAGAGGAAATGTGGCTGTGAAAGTGTACACATTCCTGGCCCAAGTGATCCTTTAAATCAATGTTATAAAATTATATACATGAGAATCGAGAATAAGCTGATTTGTAATTTTTTGTGTTGCTAAAGGTAATAAGGTTGTTATTTTGGATGAAGCGGATAATTTTCAAAGGGTTGAACCTCATTGAAGATGGTCCTTATAGAAAATTAACAAGAAATCTATTACCAAAAATGGTCAATCATGTCAAATCAACTTTGAACAAATGTCCAAACCTTCTAACATCACATAACAAATATAAATTACAAATATCTAATGACGTAGATTCAGGTTTTTTAACGTCTCAGTAGAGGAAATGTGGCTGTGAAAGTGTACACATTCCTGAACCAAGTGATCCTTCAATTCGATGTTATGAAATTATATTCATGAGAATCAAGAATAAGCTTTTCTGTATTTTTTTGTGTTGCTTACAAAAGTGATCCAGGACTTTATTCCTCTGACGATTTTATAAGAAAAATAAACCAGATTTATGTAATCTGTATTCTATATTTATTTTGTGGCGTGTATTCTCATGTCGCTTTTTATTCTTTTTCTTACAGTCTGTTTGTTATATTAACCATTTCATGTGAATGTATAATCCATGATTTTCCATGGTTTTGTAGCAATTGCCTTTTCATATACCAGTGAAAATAGTCTTTTGGATAAATACAATTTTTATTCATGTAACAAGGACGAAATTGTTTATTATAGTCGAGTCTGCAAATTAATAGTCGCGACGCCTTGGCCGAGGCAGCCGAGGCTAGCAATCAGGCGAGACAGTCGACAGTTTTTCGCCGAGGTATGCATATTAAATTTTTTCGTCGACCTCGAAACACTTATATTTACATCACGGTCCTATTCACACGTGAAATCTATCGGATTTTGTGAATATATAATTAATTTGACAGCAGCACATGATAATGAGATCCATTTTAACTCAAACAAAGCCAAAAAATGAAGAACAATCATCAAAAAATTGTATTTATAGTATACCTCGTGTTTGTGGAAAGTATTATACAGGTGAAATGAAAAGACCTCTCTCAGTAAGGACTAAAGAACACAACTACAATATCAAGAAAAGACATATCGATAAATCGAAGCTAACTGAACATATCCTTACTGAAGATGGACAACATATGGCAGAGTGGAATAATATCAAAATCATAGGAAAGGAATCCGCTTGCATTCTTCTGAACGGAGATAATAGCATTGCTTCCTGTTCAGTTGATATATATATATATATATATATATATAGAACATGGTATTCACTACTGTTTACTGAACATGAAAATCGTAGATTCAAAATCAATTAATGAAAACATCCTGTATCTTATTTGTAGACTAAAATCACTCATGCATATGCCAACATCAGTATGATACTGAGAAGTGTCAAACTATGAGCAACAACTTACAAAAATATATATTTTGCTTTTTTATGTTGAGAACGGGAGCAGATTCGGTCCCGAAACGTCCAAAGATAAGTAAAAATTCGATATTTTCTCAATATATCTATATTTCTTTCCTTCAAACATTTTTCAAACAAATTGTCACTGATAAGCTACTGGATTTTTCTTTTAGGCTCTCTGATAGAAAAATTTGTTAAACGCAGTGATATTTTGGGGCAAATCATCTGATTTGTTCCACTACAAATATATTGAAATAATACGCATATTTTTATTTTATAGAAACGAGGAGAAAAAATCCCAAAAAATCAAGTAAAATGAATGTACCACCTCCTCGATTAACCTACAGACAGTATTTACTAGATTTTTCTACATAATGACATGTGCGATTATCTGTACTATTACAAGAAATAGCAAATGCATTTGGTTTTGGATGTATGATAAATTATCATTCATCATAAAGGACGTGGGAAGAAATTCGTTATAGTTTTAGTTATATTATAGGGAGATGAAAATTGTGTATATCATGAAGAATGGCTGAAAGAATAACTGGACTTCAGGTTAATTATACTGATGTGGATATGAAATCCGAAATTTGTTTTTCTGGAGTTGAGTCATATAACCTGATTGTGCGAGATATGATTCCCATATCACTGACACGAATGATTTTTTGGAAGTTCCAAGCTCATCAAGATCAGAGTTCATAAAAGTGTACTTCTCCTATACATTTCAATTTTCATTTCAATACTGAACATGATGGTAAGTTATATTTTTATATCATAATACATCATATTATCCTATTCGATTTGAGAGATGATGTCAATTCTCAATTTCAGAGGATTCTGATTTTTCATGCTCTCTTTTTGTACATTCAACAGATACAATTCCATGTTCGACGTGGTAAATAGCCAGAAAAGTAGTTGTATCCTGTTGAATATTCAGAATATATGCATTTCTTTATATGAAGGAGAATGCGAATTCTCTACTTCAGAAGATTTTGTTTTGAAAATCTTATCCTGTGTGTTGAATAGATGTAATTCAATATTCGTCGTGGCATATAGCCAAGAAAGTAGTTTTTTTTGTTGAATAAAGCGAGAAAGAATTTATATTTTCATCACATGGATAATGCGAATTCTCAATGTATTTCTTTATTGATACATCCGTTTCTTCGTGTTCATAAATATATCTGAGAATATTCCTTTTCAATAAATAGCATGCAGTTTGAGTTTGGGGTCTTCTGGTTGGTCTCGAATCGTAGGAGAAAAAGTTATGAACTTTGTTTTTTTAACGTTTAGGGACAACATGTTGCTATTAAGCCATGCGTGAATTTTTCGTAAATCTCTTTCTGCAGTGTTTTTTATTTCTTTTCACGTTGGTCCAGTAAGGATTATTGCAGTATCACGTACCTATTTGTCCAAAACTGTTCAATAATAGTTTTGAAGTTGAGCTGATAAGAGTAAAGCAAACTAATAAGTGCCTCTACCAAAATTGAATACAACTTCAGAACGTGTTATCTTCGATCTTTCTTCACTATTACAGAGTTCACACGAAGTACCATATCATAGTTGCACTTCAAACAACTCCCCTTTATATCTCAGCTAATTTGTCGTTCGATTCCTACCAAATTTGGACTGATATGAATATAATCATCGAAATTCATAGACGTAATTTGTTTGTAGAATTGGAACACCTAATTCTTCATATTTATCCCAGGTAACACGGACCTCTCCGCGATATCTCTAAGTAGTTATCTTCAGGATCAAAATGCGAAATCCTTCTGCGAGGTATCAAAGATCACTATAGGCTGTCACCATGGGAAATACTCTCTGGAGTCGTCCGAAAGAAATCGCGGAGATCTCGCCTCAGATTTGATATATTCCTCATTATTGCGAATCCTTGAGGTTATCTATAACAGGAAATGAATAGGCATTTCTTTCTGCGAGCACCCAAGGATATCCTGGACGTAACAAGATCGAGAATTTCCCATTGCGAACTCCTAAAGTAATCACAAACATAACCTGAATAATTAATGAATATTCCTACAAAAATATTGAGCTGTTTTTTTTCAATAGCCTTTATAATTCAAATACTGGGTGTCCCAAGTTATCGTTTGCAGGCAATATCTCGCCTATTTGTCAAGATATCAAAAGCATTAAAAAACTGCATTAAATGGCATTGAATAACCTTCCTAATAGCTTATGAAGAATGTGATATATTTGGCAGCTCCCGGATGGTAGATACTGATCTAGTAGCATATTGTCTCTGAAAATTGCGTGTCAATCTATTTGGAATACAACGATATAGCACATAATTTGTGTTTTGTTCTTGATAACAACAAAAACGTGAACATTTTGTGACTTTTTTACGTTACTCAATTGACAAATTGCTTTCTCCCATGTGTTCAAGAAGTTCACAAATAAGAAGTATGGATTGCATTTTTGTTTCAAAATATTAATGACAGATATTCCATTTTGAACTGCAGAACATCAATCATTGCAGACGGTACCTAACTAGTGTAATAATTAATCTAATTTCATTGTGGGACATTTTTACGAACATGGGAGGAGGCAATTTTCAATCGATGTAACGTAAATGAGGTCAAAAAATTGTATTGTTAATGTTGTTATTAATGAACAAAATACAAAGTACCGATGTGCTATCGTTCATTACGAAATAGGATGATTGGCAATTTTCAATGACAATATACAGGGAGTCCATTAAATGAAAATTGAGGAGTTGCTACCAGGTGGCTGTCCAATCTTATACACTTTTTTTTGAGTCATAAAGAAAGTTCTCTGATGTCATTTGAAGCATTTTTACTATTTTTTGTTCATCTTGTCGAGTAAGCAAGTTTCGTGGGTAGATATCGGACGACCTTTTTTTTTAAAGGATACCCGGCCAACTCCTCGGAGATTTTTTCAAGTGATAATGTTTACTTGATCAATGTCTTGCTATAGAATAATATATAATTAAAGATCATTAAGTTGATCTAACTCTAAGTTTGGTAACTCAATCTTTTTCGCTGAAATAAATATCCAGTAAATTTAACTCCACCCCAAACAATATAGCTGGCGCTAGTTAGACTTCGCCGACAGGAGACTGCTGATAACCAATGACTTCTCAAACATTGAACACCTTACCATATTAGTGGCGATCATGTGGCGATTGATGCAAATATCGCTCTTAAAGGCCTCGTTATAAGGTGATGTGCACGGATTCTTGAACAATTCATAGTTGCGAGCACTTGAAGAGTTCGCTATTAGTAATTGATGCGAATTTCCCAAAGTTCTCTTCACAAGGCGATGCGTGCGAAAATCTCAAACAGCTCGTAGTCGCGAGCACTTAAAGACCTCGACAGAAGCAATTGATGCGAATCTCCCAATGTCCTCGTCACAAAGCAATGTATGCGAATTTCTCAAACAGCTCATGATTGCGAGCACTTTCAGTTATCGCCAGTGGCGATGGAAGCGTATATCTCAAAGTGCGCGCCTGAGGGCATTGTATGAGAATTTTTGCGTGCGATATCTTCAAGACCTCGCTGAGCTCAGCCTAGGTGGCGGACATTTGGCATAGATATAGCACTCTCGGCGATCTCTCAAAGAAGTAACAAAAGGCATCACAATTTCCTAAAAGGATTTCTTCAAGATATCTTTAGGACCTCTTTGTGCTGGCTGGGATATATATACTCACCACGATATCGTAACTTTCTATCCTAGCTATAATTCCTTTCAACCTTTCTGTATCTTGTCGATGTTTGAGGCTTGAATTCACGTTGTTGACAAAATCGTCAACCATTTTGATCTGGAGAAGAAAAACACAATATATTAACAGACTATCAGACAAAGGTTCAAGTGGTGCGAACTTACCATTGTTGATAAATTCTCCCTCTCCACATCTTCGTCAGTATTCTTCTGAATAGCTTTGAGTAAAAGGCCATATTTCGTCAGTCGTTGCATTGGTTGGACTAAAATGTCCATCAGTCGTAATCTGAAACAACAAAAATATAATCAAATAAAGAGAAACTCAGAGTAATTTCCATAATAGTTCATAAAAGGAATACTTTTCTGGCTATATGCCACGCAGAACATTGGATTAAATCCTCACGACTGGGACGTCCGTAAGACGTTATTTTGGGAGAGTACAGTTCATGTACCAATCGGACATCCGACGGATATCCCTAAGGGACATTCAGATTGTTATACGATCCTGGAAATATTAAAGGCGTCTGTGCAAAGATATTTGAAGGAATGTACCATCTGGGACATTTCATGGTTGTCTAGAAGGGACATTATATAAGATCTGAATTCATGTCAGAATATGTACTACTCGGGACATCCGATGGATGCCCCTAAAGGAACGTTTAAAATCATATACCATGAGGGACATGCCAAGGACGTCCTTGCATGAACGATATGTACCACGTGGGACGTCTAAGGGATGCTATTTCTAGGACATTTGAAATGATGTACCAGCTGGGATATTCCGTGGACGTCCTTGCTCGGACCTTGCATGAGATGTACGGGATGGGACGTCCCAAGGAAACTTATTTTTGGTCTGGACTTGAATTGTACCAAATAGGGACGTCCTAGGACGTTGTGTGCTATTAGGATGGAGAAACATATTTCATACTCAAATAACTTGGCTAGCTCCTTTCAGTTTTTATCGATGTTTATGACATGATATGAAGGTAGATATTTAGTATTTACCACTATTTCGAAAACTTACTTCAAAGAATGTTCTATTGAATTAGGTACGACTTACGTTTATGTTCGGTGATCGGAGTTTGTGGAAGATATTCTTTTATTGACAAAATTTCGAAGTGATATATGGAATGAAGAAGATATTATGTACAGCAACAAGTTGAACCTAGAGCCTGAGTCTATGTGAAGAACTCCACACACGGTAAAATTTCCACGGAATGCTCAAAAACACATTTCCCGCTTCTTTCAACTGAAATACTCGCCCAATAAATTCATATGTTTATTCATCGTATTTCAATATTTATTCATCATTAGGTATACCCCTTGAAGAATCTATCATGTTAGCATAACATATCGTGATTTAAAAATGTTATGAAAATGTTGTGACTTCGAAAGTTCTCGATTGTATTGATCATGAAAATATACTGCTGCGTAAGCTCGATTATTATGGTTTCAGGTGAACTAATTTAAAAAAGTTTCGGTCATATCTCTCCGTACAAAGTCAATTTATGAAAACATCAATTGGGAAGTCTGACTTCGGTAATATGATTCATGGAGAGTATCACAGGGATCTGTTCTAGGACTGATATTGTTTCTAATTTATTCGAATGACTAAGCAACTATCGATATCACAGGGCGTTTCATTATTTTAACTGATGATATCACTATCCAGTATCCTGTGGAGAAAGATAGGCAGATACCTATCATAGATATAGATCTTCGAAAGATTAGGACTCTGTGTAACGCTTATTCTTTATGTTTCCACATAAACAACACAAAAATAATTACATTCGAATGTATACTTGATGATTATTCATCGACATATCACATATTATATAAAACAAACATCACACTAATTTTTTCCATCGCTTGAAGCGTACCTCAGAAGGATGGAAAGAGGTATTTATGACCACGAGTGACATTTAAGTGAGCAAATCCCTAGTAAGTGAATGTTATGTGATTGGAGTGATATCTAATGAGCTATTGATTATAATAATTATAATTACTTTGCATTGATTGAATCTCATGTGAGATGAAGCTAATGGCTTTTTGGGGTAATTGCAGCTGACAGTAAGTTCTTTCAGAAGGGATTATACATGTACAATTATCAAAGGACCACCCTGTATATGTCAGAACATGACATAATTGGATGTCTTCAACTCCAACGAACTAGGCATCGCATTTCTAACAGGAATATATGATTAAAAGGCAATTTACTCCTATACCATATCGTAACTCGGCGTATTCAACAGATCCCCTAATTTTGATACATTTATGCTATACGATCAATCAAAAATGTATGAGGCGAGGCGGCGTTATCGTGAAACATAAGTGGAACGAAGGAGATGCGAATAAAATATGGCGTTCGTTCCATATGCAAACAAAATTATGTTAATGAGACAAAATCGAGTAGGAATCTGATGAAACGATATGACAAATCAATCTCATCAATAAATATTGATACATTTCACAGATTGATGGAAACTCAAGTTCATAATCATGGTCACTATCATTATAACATAAAGCATTAAGATGATAACTTGTTGGCTCCATCAGAAACAAAAATGCTGCAGAACAAAAAGGATGAGTAAGAGACGAAATATGCCCCATAGTTTATCTTTTGAATGACTGAGAATCATTTCCTGAAATGTGTTTGCTTCCATCATTGAGTTGTTTAGGTGCGTTACATCTTGATTCCAATAGAAAATACGTATGTGATTTTTTTAATGAAATGGGGGGTCGAGAGATACCTCTTTCGAAGTGTTTTTCAATTTTCTATATGATGCCTGAAAAAGACAAGAATTTTGCATTCAAAACAAAATGGCGGGTGATGATGTTTGATTCTTCAACATGGTCCCCTTTCGTCATTTTTGTGGATATAGATGTCCAGGTGCCAATAGAGAGTTGAAGATTACACGAGAGCACGTTAATAGCCATCTTGCTTTTGTCTGCAATTCTGGGGTCGTATATAGAGGCTTGAAATATGTCTCTTCATATTCTACATTGGAATAATATAAGTAGCACTTAGATCACCATTGGAGCAAAAAAAAATTGAGAAAGAATTCCCAGCCGTTGAAAACTTAACTTGGGGGGGTGTGACTTTGATTCGTTTGTATCCTTAGTAAACACATACCTCCGCTGATGAATATGGAGAGTTGACACCGCGCTAACTCAACAGAGTATTTGACGCAACCGGCCTTGAGTATTATTGATGTAGTATTGCTGAATTGTGTGACTAGATGGTCAGCTTCAGGGTCTTCTGATAGATTCATCATATGATCAGTAGTAATACTATCAGTAGTTCAAAACATTCGGAATTATTCTGTTAAACTGACACGATTTGTGACTGTTCAGGAGGTCCGAGATGTATAATGTTGAAGATTTTGTAGTTCGACTTGTATCTGATGAGATCATTTTTTGAGTAGTTCTGAACCAACGTCGAAATTTGGCGAGGCGCTTTATTTGTATGTAACAATATGAATTGGGGACTATGGAAATGGAAATAATTCAAAATTTCTGATAGGTGTTACTAATCTATGTATATCTACGTACATTCGAAATTATTCAAGGTAGCTTAACTTAATTGAACGTTCTAATTGGTTCAGAATCAAAGGAAGAAAATATAATCTGGCGACGAGTATAAGTAACCAGAAAACTCGCAATTTAATGCAATCTGAATCAGAGTTTCTTGAATTGAAAATCATAATATGAAGCTGTGATCTCGGGAAAAGTAGCAAGCTGGTGATACCTGATGGTGATATTATCAGAACTTTTGATTGGAACAACTATGAACGACAGCAAGATTTGGTCAATATCTGAATGAATTATGAGACCATTGAAAGGTTAATAAGATCAATCTGCATTTTACGGTTACTGAAAATGTTTTGTTTTTATTCTCAACGAATTTAATGCCATAACTAACATGAGAATGATGTATTTTATATTTTTCAACTGATCATCATCTTGTTTCCTTTGCTGACAACATTGAGACAAAAAAAAAGACATGAAAATAGTGATCACAATTGACTCAATCTTGACAAGTTTGAGTTGATCTGAGTATGTATGATGTGAGACAATTTCAACATCAACTTGATGGGACAGTATGGGTAAATTGATCAAAACCCGATTCTTCGCATCCAAGTGTTGAAGCAAAGCTACAGTGCTTCCCAGTAAATATTTGAACTCTGCCTTATGGATTCAAATCTTCCTCTTTTATAATCTACATGAATCGATGAACCACAATTTTGAGACCAATAAAAACATCCATTATCATTATTATTGTCAAATATCGTCCCATTGTGACCCCTCTACATTTTTTAAAAAATTTTTGAAATTCAGAGTTGCACTATAGAGATGATGACTTACAATTAATATACTCACCTATTACATTCTTTCTGGCTTTCACACCAAGTCAAATAGGCCGTGAAGACCTCGCTGTCCAGGTTCTCCCTGCAATAGTGCTGGCACCTGGACTGCTCCGCGCAGTATTTGTAGTACGGCTGGAAGATGTCCTGGATGCTGTGGAACCCCTCCAGCATGTTCTCCAGGCAAGAGGTCCTCCTGTATTTCCTCATGTCGCGGACCAACGGGAAGAGAGTGTTGCGCCAGAAGACGACGTTGGCGTCCAGGATTTCCGTTATGTTCGAGAAGAGCTTGTCGGTGTCGATTTCCTTGAGGAGGTTTTTCGATTGGAGGTCCTTCAGGCAGGCTAAGAATAACTGGAATGGAATGAAATCATGATTCAATTAATCGAAAGCAACTTATATTATGGGGTACCAACACAGAAAAACAAGTGAACAACTCAAATTTTCGAAAAACATTTTTTTTCTGTGACGGGAAAAAAGTTTGGCATTTCATCTCTGTTGGCAGGTTATAAAATGTAACTTTTCATAAATTACTTTTTTCCCGTGGGAAAAAAGTGAGTACTTCTTTGCCGGATATATATCACATAAATATATACTGTTGATGGCTTTTGTTGGCAATAGTTCCGAAAAATGAGTCAATAATAACGTCTCCGAAAGAACTGTCCTACCACTAAATTCGCAATTTCTCGAAATCAAATCACATAATTAGACTGACAGAAGTGACATCAGATATTTGATTACTTCAAAAGAATGATAACGCAGGTGTCCCTACTGTTGAAAACTTAAAATTTCACGTCGATAATTTTCAGATTTCAAAATAATGTAATATCTTCTCAATATTGATTCGTCCTTTCTTCTGTCACAGAAAAAAATAGTGTATTATACACGGGAAAAATATTAGATTTTAGCTCACGGTTTTTTATCTCCCTCCGCTACGCGTCAACACAACCTGGAGCTAAAATCTACTACTTTTTTCCCTTGTATAATAAATAACTATTTTTCCCACGACCACCTATGAAAGCAGCATATAGCATTTAGTGTTGTTGCTCGAGAAAGTATCTCATATCACCATGCGTAACAATGCGAAAGTGATAATGACACAGTGGCAATATTCCCGCACGCTCACGTGATCTTTGTGTGGTCTATCCTAATTTATGGACGATTATAATACTGCATTATCATATTTTGATTCATTACTATCACTGATTCTTCTCACACTAAGACTTACATTACTTAATTTTGATTCAATGTTGAGTTAATAGTAGATTGAGGTGAAGTAAATGTTAATTCAATGTTAGGTTAATGTTGATTGAATAATAATTTGAGTTGTTAATGTAAAGTTGATGATAAGTTGATGTTAAGAAAATGTTGAGTTGATATTGAGTTGAATAAATGATGGGTAAATGTAAAGTTGATGTTGACCTAGAATTAGGTTGATGTTAATTGATGTCAAGTTAATGTTAAGTTGAAATGAAGTTGATGTTGAGTTGACGTTAATTTAATGTTTTGCTGATGTTAAGTTAATGTTTTGCTGATGTTTAGTTAATGTCAAGTTAATGTTACCTTAACGTTGAGTTAATATCGAGTTAATTTTAAGTTAATGTTAAGTTAATAATAAGTTAATGTTAAGTTAATGTTAGGTTAATGTTAAGTTAATGTTAAGTTGATGTTAAGTTAATGTTAAGTAAATGTTGAGTTAATGTTAAGTTAATGTTAAGTTAATGTTAAGTTAATGTTGAGTTAATGTTGAGTTAATGTTAAGTTAATGTTAAGTTAATGTTGAGTAAATGTTAAGTTAATGTTAAGTTAATGTTAAGTTAATGTTAAGTTGATGTTAAGTTAATGTTAAGTTAATGTTGAGTTAATGTTGAGTTAATGTTAAGTTAATGTTAAGTTAATGTTAAGTTAATGTTAAGTTAATGTTAAGTTAATGTTAAGTTAATGTTTAGGTAATGTTAAGTTAATGTTAAGTTAATCTCAAGTTAATGTTGAGTTGATGTTAAGTTAATGTTAAGTTGATGTTAAGTTAATGTTAAGTTAATCTCAAGTTAATGTTGAGTTAATGGTAAGTTAATGTTAAGTTAATGTTGAGTTAATGTTGAGTTAATGTTAAGTTAATGTTAAGTTAATGTTAAGTTAATGTTAAGTTAATGTTAAGTTAATGTTAAGTTAATGTTAAGTTAATGTTGAGTTAATGTTAAGTTAATGTTAAGTTAATGTCAAGTTAATGTTGAGTTAATGTTAAGTTGGTGTTGAGTTAATGTTAAGTTAATGTTAAGTTGATGTTGAGTTAATGTTGAGTTAATGTTAAGTTAATGTTAAGTTAATGTTGAGTTAATGTTATGTCAATGTTGAGTCAATGTTAAGTTAATGTTGAGATAATATTAATCAATTTTCAGTTAATGTTAAGTTAATGTTGAGTGAATGTTGAGTTAATGTTGAGTCGATGTTAAGTTAATGTTAAATTAGTGTTAAATTGATGTTGAATTATTGTGAAGTTAGGTTGATGTTGCCTTAATATTGTTTGTGATTTGTTTTTATTTTGAAAAAGTAAAGTACATTTCGACTTTAAAAATCGCCTTATGTTCCTTATTGTTATAATGACTAATTCATCATACTCACATCTGTGACAACTTTCAAAGTCTTGATATAGGCAACCTCCGTTTTGATGAGTTCCCATAGCGCTGTCTGCTGCTGCTGTTGTTTCTCATTAAGATCTGTAACAGGAAGACAGTCAAATTAAATACGCTAGAAACAATTCTGGAAAGAATACCACCCAGACAACTTCTAGAATGTGGTGAAGACGACAGGGGCGTTATTCCAGTGGATACCAGGGAGGGTCAAGAAACTCAGACAAAATTGTTGTAGTGCGAAAAGTGCGCCGCAGGCAACATTTTTCTGGCATTCAAGGTCAAACAGCTTCAAATTGGAAATAATGTTTCTTTCAGAGTGATACACCTCTATTTCAGTGCATACCAGGAAGGAGATCAAGAAACTCAGACATAATTTCGTTCGGTGAAAATGAGCCGCAGGCGAGAATTTTGTTAGGATTCAAGGTCAAATACATTGATAAAATCGAAAATAGAATTTCTTCCAGACTAACAACAACTCCATCACATTATTATATTATGAATTATTCAGTTATAAGTTCCCAGTTTGTTGCAATTGATAAAAAATGATCTGGAAACAGGAAAAATGGGAAATTATGAAAATTAGGAAAAAAGTATTTCGGATACTGTCTGTAGGTGGCTGTTCCTGAAGCAAGGGTTAACTGACTCACTTTTTCAATGCAGCATAATAATTCAGAGAGATTCACTTGATTTTTTTCATCGTATATATGAATCAGTGACTATCACTCATACAAGGAAATGAGTTAATCATCGGTATATTGTAATTTTTACATTTCATGGAATAGGTACTGATGACGGTGTCCCTCAAGAGTCAAGGGTCTGTATAAAATGTTATTACCAAGATCAAAATAAGCCGATTCAAAGCAACTTAAATCAGTCTGAATTTGCCCCGTTTCCGAAATACAGGGTGGTGAAGATAAAGAATGAAAATCGACAAGTACACTTCGAGAAGGTATTCTGAAAAATCCATTCTTGCACTGCTAATTCACTGACCAAATTACATCCAAGAAGATAATAGCAAACATGCAAAGTGATTTGAATATTCCGGTGCTGCATCGAAAATTGAAAATCGAAATATCTCTAAATAGGCTTTCCCAGCGGATTAAAACACGTGTACCTTTTTTTGCTTCAAAATGTTCGTTATATCCTCGACGAATAAAGTAGAAAACGCTACACTGAGAAAAAAGTTATATCAATTTTTGAAGAAATACCATTCAAACTGTTCATAAATTCTGGGAAATTCAATTTTTATTCTTTCACTTTACCACCCTGTATCTCGGAAACGAAACAATTTCTACTGAGGTGAGATGCTTTGAATCGGCTCATTATGACTTCAGGAATATGTGTGTTGAGATTTTTAAAGAACTTTTATGGACACCCTGTATATTATGTGGTGACACTTCACAGGAAGAATATATTAAGTGAATCTATTTTTTTTAGAGAATCAGGGGGTTGCCCCTCCTTAATTATCGATGATTCTTCCCCCTGAATGACGCCCATGGAAGACGAGAGCGATTTATGTTATCTTTGGATGCGTAATAAAGAAGTTCCATGATAATTGAGTTTCGGGCCGTCGACTAGACGTTCCTTTGTTTTCACTTACATGCGGAACTTTTTCCTTGGTGAACTCGTCTGGTTTCTTGAATCTTTTAGATCGCTAGTCCATCTATTCAAGTATACACTGTGTCCAAGATAAGAATGTCTATCATGGGGATCTCGGAAACCATAAGAGATACGAAGATGGTTAAATTAGGGAAAAGTTGCGCATTTTTGAGCTTAACAATATGCCGTTCGAGAAATTTCGAAATGCCGAGTATTTCCGGATATATGCCTGAAAAACCGAAATATGCCGGTTTCGTTTTTATTTTTTTATGACGTTATTTAAAGATATATAGAAAAACAAAAGACACTTTCTCATTGCCACTTTTTGAGCTCTACAAAACAGCGTTGAGAGATTTTCCGTACGACGTTTCGTTTCGGAGAAACCATCATCAACTTTATTTTTTTATATGGCCCATAAAAAAAAGTACACCCTGTATTAAATAGCATATTCTATTAAGAAAACGATGATGTATATGACACATAATAATTCTGCAATTTAAGAATCAGAAAAAATGGTTTTTATTATTATTTCGAACGTTTTGGTGTAGTATGCGGTGAAATGACCGCGCAGTATATGGTGTAGTGAGCTATTATTACCCGTGTTTCGAAATATTGAATGAAAATCACGTTATTGAAATTTTAAAAACTTTATACATGGTCACGTCATATGTTATAGTTAAGAACTACTTACTAGAAATTCAAAAAACTAATTGAAATCATAGACAATGTTCAAACAAATTACCGTTATTCTCCAAACACAGATAACATCTTCTAACTGACAAATTCAAAACACTTCTCAACATAATTATCAGGTGTAATGCTCTCGAACGCCTTAAGAGCTAGTCTCCTAAGCTGATCCTCAGATTCAAAAACACGGCGGTAAACATAATTTTTGCAATACCTCCAGAGAAAAAAATCGAGCGGAGTGATGTCCGGCGAACGAGGGGGCCAAGGAACTTTTGAATGTGTACCTATCCATTTTCCCGGAAATCTGTTCGATAAATACTCGCGCACGATTAGGGTATTGTGCGCGGGCGCACCATCCTGCTGAAACCAACAGTTTCTAACCTTTGCAAGCGGTAAGTTGTCCAAAGCTCCTTCCAAATCGCGTTCCAATAAGTTACGTTAATGCTCGTATCTCTTATGGTTTCCGAGATTCCCATGATAGACATCCTTATCTTGGACACAGTGTATACCGTCATAAAACTGTTCAAATCCAAGCTGAGTGAGGTGAGTTAGAAAAATAAAAGTTTTTCCAATTTGGAAGACATTCCGATACATACACTTACCGATATATCGTGAAAACACTATAACGCCCAGAGGCAGTTCAACATTCTGTAGTTCCTCAACAAATCTTGGGAGATATATGGACTAATATGTCCCTAATATTTCTAGAAGATCTCTCAACCACTTCACTCTTTCGAAAAAAAAAAAATATCACTCTGCAAGAAGAGTTCACGAGCTGCCGCGAACTAATATGTCCTTTCATATCAGGAATCCGGAGACGACTAACGATTCTCATCGAACAAGTGTTCATAGGTGAGTGAGATGACTCATTGAGGTAAACGAGTATGACAAAGATGGAAAATGATAGGAGGGATGAAATTAAATGATAATTGTATAACTGTGAAATGACATCTTTTAGGATTTAAATGATTATCTTCAAATTTCCATCTTTTAACTATAATCTTGTCTCATTTCGAAAAGATAACCTTTTTGAAACAAAAAGAGTGATTTGAAAGGGTGACCTGTTTCACGTTGAAAACGTGAACTTTCCACGTTCATCAGATGCCATTTCGTGGTTAAAATGTTTCATTTGGCGGTTATAAGAAGTTTTTAAATAGAGACATGTATAACTGGACTTTTGGCTCCGAAGTGCTTCAATATCACTTCGGCCCACAAATACCGTAATCATATTCACCTGTTGACGCAGAACTTCCTATATATACAGGAAAGTGATCGCTATCTTGTCAGATTCCAATTATACCTATAATTTGGCCTTCTCTATATACCACTTGGCTATCTCAATTCCCCAAGTTTTGCTCCCCTATTCTGTTTACACATTCAATATGAATCCCTTAAATCCACTAAGTCACATTAAAATTGCTATTTATGCTTGGGCACGTAAACGTACCTATATATTTGTTTACATTTCTGAATAATTCTGAATCTGATCCTATATACATATTAATATGAATAAAATACACAGCGCCATTTGAATTTTCGCTACAGATGTGGCGTTATTTGAACATATTTGATATCTAGCACATTTGAAGAACTCGCATTCCTGGAAATTGTAATCCTACATGACGATATTGTTTTTATCATCATTATTTTCACTTTACGCACTAGTGTGATGATTTCAAGTTTCTGATTTTATAAAAAAAAAAAGAGCTAATTGATCATGAATACATATTGCAGGTAGCTATACTAGTTTGAGTTGCTTCATTTGCCGCGATTTCTATATCTGAATCTTTATTTTGGTGATTGGAATTCACGTCGATTATTTTTTTCACATGTCAAAATGTGACGTTTTCGTTGTTTAAACCGCCAATCATTAGGTATTACCGCATGGTCTGTCACAACAAAACTATAAATAAACAGTGAAGACTCAACTGCGTTAATTCTATTATTCTTATAGGTACTTATAATGATTGAATAAATAATAATTATCTCTAGACCGAATAAAAACTATTTCTTTCATAAACAATAACTTCTATAGGTTATAGATCAGAACTAGTTCTCCAGCAAACATACAGGGTGTCCCAGAACTTAGCGTCATCCTTTGGAGAGCTGATAGTCCAACTCATGACTAAACAGAATATCACAATACGACATCAAAATATTGATAGTTTTGGAAATATTGGTACTCTAATTGATTTCGTGTGAAAATTGAAACCTCTGATTAGTATTTCAAGTGCTGCATGTAAAAAACTTCATAGTTTATGATTTCAAGTTTTCTTATGCAACCTGTAATAACTCTTCTCTCTATCGATCATAATCAAGAACCAGGCGCGTAGGTATGTTTTTTTTCTAGAGGGGGTAGTTACTTAGTATCGGAAATTAAATTATGTGGTGGTGGTTTATTAGCTTCAACTTTTATTAAAGCTGTTTTTATATTTTAGAATATTCAAAATTACCAAAGTAACAATTATCAGTCATTCAAATGAACAAATCAAGATGAATATTCTCGATGAAAACATATTTTATATGCGTATTATATGAACTAGTTGAAAAAAAAAAAAGAAATAATCTCTCAATTTCACCATTAGATAATATAATGTAAGTAACTTATCATTCAACTCTTGATTAAGTCTAATTAACAAAATATCAGGTACCCCCGTGACTAGATTATAAAACAAAGTCTTTCACATTGTTTTGAAAACCTATCAATAACAGCATCTATATCTATTTCAATATATCTATGAATGTTTAATATAAAGTTAATCCGACTAGCCTGACCCATCTCACCGGCATAACAGATT